TTACACAATCTTTCAAATGATATCTCGAAAAAAGGGCTGGCCCCTAAAATGAAGGGCCTAGAGGGGCCTAGAGGGGCCGAAAGTATTTCCTTTATATCTCAAAAAGTATTGAGAATTTGTAATATGTGAAAGAAGCAAAGTTGTACAAAATGTCAAGCTTTATCTAATGGGGTCGTCCAAATACGTCCGGCGATGTCGCTTCCGGTCAAACCGGAAGTAGTCAAAAATTGCATATTTTTGCTGTTCTTGACAGATTTTTGGATATCATATGTCACTGGAAGCTTAAATTTTAATTTTCCGTCTGTCGACGGTACTTCCGGTCCAACCGGAAGTGGCCAAAAATGGCTTAATTTTACAATAATTAACATAAATTTGGAGGATTAAACCATTTTTGGACTTCATTTGTCTTTTTTTCTTAAAAGAAAGTTACTTCCGGTCAAACAGGACGGAAGACCTACTCGTTGCTTTGCAACGAGCTCGGCTCTAGTTATTATTATTTTTCTTCTCGGGAAAATTTTGTCCGCGAATGATCTTGTAAAGTACACATCCGATTAAGGGGAAACCTTTTTAGGGTAAGTAGGCATGTTATGTAGATTTGCGGAATGAAGGTCATTTTGAGCGCACGTGCTTGCAAGAGCGCGCACGTGCAAAACTTGAAATGACCAATATATAATGGATATAACCGTAACTTTTCAATTTTTAGACGAAATGTTTTGAAACTCATAATGTATGGATATATGAGTAGTATGCACAAGATGACATGGTCAAAATAGCAAGATCGCACGTGCAAGCACGTGCGCTTCGCTCTGATTGGCTGAAACTAAAGTCTCAATATCTTTCTTGTTTTTTGATAAAATCATTTGAAATTTTGAACATAGTCATACATTAGGGAGATCTACAGCCCGTAATAAAAGAAATATCATGAAATCATGTGCATGCACGTGTGCTTGCAAGAGCTCGTACGTGAAACACGAGAAATGGCCAATATAATTGATACAGATGTAACTACAGTGCAGGGAAATAATTTTGTTACAGCATCAATGCTGATTTTGGAGCTTCCTATGCTTGCTGATTTTGATGCTTCCTTTGCTTGCTGATTTTGATGCTAGTTATCCTTATCCTGATCCTGGTTTGATCCTTATCCTGATGCTGGTTTGAAACTAGGTCAATGCTAGTAATGCTACCGGAAGTAGGATTATCCTGCCGGAAGTTGATAATTCAAAAACAGCATCGCTATTTTAAGCCATTAAAAATAATGTTTGGGGTAATTTTTATTTGTAATATGTATTTAATGACTTTCCTTTATCTGTTTTCACTTTTTACCGAAAAAATTAGCGATTTTTAACGAATTTCGTTTTGTCGTATTGCAATCGTAAAGAAACAAAATTGCGACATAGTGGAAGTTGGAAGTAAATCTTCATCTTGCGAAGTTAGCGTAACATAGTTATTTGATATTGATCGCAGCTAAAATGCGATGATTTATCCTTTTTGTGATGCGATTTCAGTAGGTGGAATAGCCCTAGTGTGTGCAACGTGTAAGCATGGAAACGTGATGGACAATGAACATGATGAAGTTTATGTCAAATCCAGATGAAAATTTATTGCGTGTCCTGTGACTATTTTAGCGAAAATATTATGCTTTAGCCTAAATGGAATTTAAAGTCGTAATCCAAGGAACCAATAGATCATCAGTACAGTCACTACAACCACTCAGAGGGTATGTAAACAATGTTGTTGTTTTTTTTAATTAAGATTATATAAAAATGGTAAAGATTATGTGAAACAGATTTAGTGTTACAAAAAATCCAAAACTCAAAATTCTGAGCGATTAAGGCATTTAAACATGGTAAACCCATGTGATTTTAAAGGTCAATTTTTACAATTGAGTAAAAAATCAATGATTTTCTTTTTTAATTTAAAATCTGCAGATGCAGTATTCTGTAGTTAATCCACATTAAGCATGTTAAGTATCAAGTCAAATTATACATAACCCATTGTTGCAACCACGGCCAAAATGTACAACCTTCTCCTATTCTGACTGTGGTCAAATGAGAAAGAATATTTTGTAGCTCGATCATTAATATTTTGTAGCTCATTAAAATACTGACCATTTGCAAATAAAGCAAAGCAAGATATTTTACTTTGATCATGATACCCAGTCGCAGTGTAAGAAACACTGTTGAATGCATGTAAATTGTTCATTTCAATTGGGATGGAAAGAAACCCATGTTCACTTACAATGTCATATGACATCACAATAAAGATCGAGGCATCAAGATAAAGATTAGGAATTTTTTTGATCAAGCAGCCACGAGCAGGAGAGCTTCACGCTTACAACAATGTGGTAATGTACATATATAACCTGCCCGACTGATAACCAAGTCCACTCAAATGTACTTCACTCAAACGTAGTACATGTATTTCAACTTTTGAACAAATCTAGAAGTCAACTCTTAAACAATAGTATATATGCATGGTTACGGATTTTATCTTTGCAGTCTTAGTTAGGCTGTTCCCTATCAAGTACTGTCTTGTGTCTAGTTTACGAGTAGAATCTAGATTGTACTTAAGGCTTTAAACAGATATATAATTTTTTCAGAAGGCAGATATGTATCTATCCTGATATTTGAGCTACAATACAATATCAATATGTATCAAATATTTGAATTGGTCATGTTGATCAGGAAGTCTTTTTTTGTATTGAACAAGATGTGTTTGTGAAACGCTGTGCGGCCGGCGGTAACAAAGTTGAAAAAAACTGTTTTAGCATATAGGTCACAGTCTATGTCATAACGTCATTGATCTCAATGTCGTTTGAAAGAACTTTATTAGTGGAGTATGCATACCGAGTATGAAGTCTCCATCTCCTATGATTAGTCAGCCCGCGGGCTGACTAGTTATGGTACGAAGAACTTCCAATGCGCTTGCGTGACCTGGAATTCTGGGAGTGGTTCTGCAGTAAATCATTCCTGCTAATTTTATTTCAGTAAAATCAAATAGATTATAAACCAACAAATCCCCATTAAACACCAAAGAAATCTGTAAATTTAACTCAAAAAGGAATTTCCCGATGCTTATTTTTGTATAGAAGGTTTCAAAAGTTTACTGGTTCGCAGTAATTTAACTGGTTCGCACTTGATCATGTGTTCTACGCAGCGAAGCATACAGTTGCTACTGTTGGATGAATTTAGTGTTTGACGCGTAAATTGAAGCTCCTTTATAAAATATATTGAAGGTATTTTACTTATGTATTTAAATCTACAGCACAAACATTGCTTTATTACATATTTTTAGCTTTTCAGTTTTTACTGCTTTTACTTTTGTTTTCACTACAAATCATTTCGATCCCGATGCTAAAAGCGGACAGACTTGTTAAATCATACAACAGATACTTCGGAAAGAAAACACAACTGGCTAAGCTTGCTCGTTTGTTGCCCCCCGCTGAAATTAGAGAATATCAATTTCAGTCTGTCTGTCCGTCCATCTATAGTTCTGTCTGTCTGTAACACTTTCACTTCTCCGCAATATTGCGTGAAGTCTTTGAGCTTTTGCAGTAAAATTTTACACAACTGTTTACACCTTATATGGCCTTTGGAAGACCCTCTTGATTTTGAGGTCAAGGTATTAAATTCAGAAATTCTGTCTGTTTAAACACTTGTTTTCGCGCGATATCTCTATACGGCATTGAGCTTTTGCAATGAAATTTTATACCACAACTCCCTATGGCCATATATATGGCGGAAGGAATACCCCTGTGTATTTTGAGGTTCAAATGTCAATGTCATAAATTCATACTTCTGTGTGACTGTGTGTAAAACTTTCATTTCCAGTCAATATCTCAAGAACGTTTTGAGTTTTTAAAATTTAACATGTCATAAACCATAACTCCCTATGGCCCCGCCCTGGAAACCCCCCTCCCCCGATCTGCGCATGCTTTTTTATCCGTAAATTGGCCTGTTTTTCATAAACTACGACCTGATAATCTAGGTTGTGGCAATCATATTCATGAATTAATAGGTTTATTATATTATAAGAGGTCTGATAAATGAATTTGTAGGTCTTAGTAATGTTTGCTTTATTTCAATTCTACTTTTTATGAAAAAATTTTAAGCCAAAATTCAGCTAGTTACTAGTAAGTCAAATGACGATAGTTACCAGGTAATAAACTAAAAAAAAAGCTTAGGCTATACCGTCAAAGCTTACATGTTACCTGTTTAAATGAACAATAAATGTTTATTTTTTTTTAATTCTAAAATGTACTAGAAAATGTACTAGGTATTTCAATAGTCCTTTATTTGTATTCTCAAACGAAGGTTCAGTATGGCTGTTTAAGTATCGCAGGGACAAGGGTGTTTTCCTTTTCTAAACACATAGCCAAGAGTGATTCAACCGGCGGCATGATAAACTCTGACAAGGAAGACAGTGAAGCTTATTGGGCTTCGTTTTGTTAAAAATGGCATAGTGTCCATTCAACCTGCGGCATGATAAACTCTGACAAGGAAGACAGTGAAGCTTATTGGGCTTCGTTTTGTTAAAAATGGCATAGTGTCCATATATATCTGCCCCCCCCCCCTAAAATCTTATAGATCTGATAATGAGATTGTGGGTTTATAACTTCTTTGAATTATGTTACGTGAATTGGAACTGAAATGTTTATACATACTTTCCCTTCTTTTATTTTGAGACAAAAAATTCAAGAATCTGCATGCACAAACGCCTCTGTTCCTATGCAGAAAAAATATTAAGACGATGTTTTAATTTTAGTGCCCAACTCTGATTAAAAATTTGTTGAAGGCATTTTTTTCAGTTCTCTATGATTCTTTAAAACATTATCACAGAGAAGAAAAATCCACTGGCTGACTCTCTAAGCTTTTTTTAAAAGCTAAACTTGTTCAAAAGTTATGGTAAAAGTTCGAAAGAACTATTTTAAGCAGGTAGGTCACAGTCAAGGTCACAAGGTCATTGAAGTTGGTGTCTTTTGGAAGAACCTTTTAAGTTGAGTACGCATGCCAAATATCAAGTCTCTACCTCTCCGAGTTAAAAAGTTATGGCGAATGTTCAGATTGACAATAGACAGACGGACAAACAGCTGAACAGATAAACAGACAGGACATAAACAATATATGCCTCAGATTTATCGATCCAGGGGCATAAAAATTTTAAGAACAAACCATTTCTTCACAATTTTTTTTGAATAATTTTCATTTGATTTAAAAGAATAAGCTGTATACATGGTATATCCACTGTAAAACAAAATTATTTTATATAAGTGGTGAGAATTATTACTGGTATGTATTTTTATATAAAAATTTTGATTTTAAAATATGTTTATCGTATAAAATTAACACAAAAAATAAGTATAAACAAAAACCAGAAGTCTCTGTCGAGACTGAAGCTCTACTGGTTTGAACTTATAGCAAAGGAAAAGAAAAGTACTTAAGCAGCTGGGATTTGAAATTTTACAACAGCAATAAATAGAATAATGATCGTTGATAAAGTCTCTTTATGTTCTTACTCCTTAGTGTAGTCTACTTGTGTGCCAAGTTATATTGAAATCAGACCAAAACTGTAGGAGGAGTAGCATTTTGAAACAATTTTACAGTCATTTCTATTTTTAGTAACCACGGCAACACCGTTCATCAAAATTAAAATAAAAATTCGATACACAGAGTTATGTATCTTAGTGTATTCTACTTGTGTGCCAAGTTATACTGAAATCAGACCAAAACTGTAGGAGGAGTAGCATTTTGAAAGAATTTCACAGAAATTTCTATTTTTAGTAACCACGGCAACACCGTTCATCAAAATCAAAAACCAATACAGAGAATTATGTATCTTAGTGTATTCTACTTGTGTGCCAAGTTATACTGAAATCAGACCAAAACTGTAGGAGGAGTAGCATTTTGAAAGAATTTCACAGAAATTTTTATTTTTAGTAACCACGGCAACACCGTTCACCGAAATCAAAAACCGATACACAGAATTATGTATCTTAGTGTATTCTACTTGTGTGCCAAGTTATACTGAAATCAGACCAAAACTGTAGGAGGAGTAGCATTTTGAAAGAATTTCACAGAAATTTCTATTTTTAGTAACCACGGCAACACCATTCATCGAAATCAAAAACCAATACAGAGAATTATGTATCTTAGTGTAGTCTACTTGTGTGCCAAGTTATACTGAAATCAGACCAAAACTGTAGAAGGAGTACCATTTTGAAACAATTTTACAGATATTTCTATTTTTAGTAACCACGGCAACACCGTTCATCAAAATCAAAGACCGATACACAGATTTATGTATCTTAGTGTATTCTACTTGTGTGCCAAGTTATACTGAAATCAGACCAAAACTGTAGGAGGAGTAGCATTTTGAAAGAATTTCACAGAAATTTCTATTTTTAGTAACCACGGCAACACCGTTCATCGAAATCAAAAACCGATACACAGAATTATGTATCTTAGTGTATTCTACTTGTGTGCCAAGTTATACTGAAATCAGACCAAAACTGTAGGAGGAGTAGCATTTTGAAAGAATTTCACAGAAATTTCTATTTTTAGTAACCACGGCAACACCGTTCATCGAAATCAAAAACCGATAAACAGAATTATGTATCTTAGTGTAGTCTAATTGTGTGCCAAGTTATATTGAAATTAGACCAAAACTGTAGGAGGAGTAGCATTTTGAAAAATTGTTTACAGACAGACGGACAGACAGACGGACAGACGGACGGACGCCGGACGCATTACTATCGCATAAGCTCTTCTGGTCTCTGACCAGTAGAGCTAAAAATGCCTTATTCTTTTTGCGATATTTAAATATTTTTACATACATATTGATATACGTGTACTTAATCCTCACACAGAATCTTTATTATCGATTAATAATTTCAGCCTCAATGGCTCCTTTTAAATTTTACTGGAGTTAAAAGAGAAAAGATGAGTGTTTGAAACTGTGATCATTACTCTGATATTAAATAGCCAAATTATGTTCAAGTTGTAAAGTTACTTATTGTCATTGTGCCCCTATTTCATAGCATAAGTTTTAGTAGTCAGTGACAATTTATTTTCTTTTACCTGTAAAAAAAGTTAATTGCTCTATAATTGTGTAACAGTGACATTAAATAATTTCCCCCTCAAGTTTGTATTTTGTATATTTGTGTGATGTACACATTACTCACTGTATAAAGTTAACAACTGTAGTTAAAACTGTATTATTAGCATTGTTTTTTAATATTTGGCATTTTTTGAAATTAACCTAATTAATGTTTCATATTTTTCAGGCCCATGACAGAGTAAACAAAGCAGAAATTCCTCCAGGATTAAAGTATGCTGGTCTTCTCTATGGACCTAAATCCAGCTGATGAAATTCTATCTGTTAAAATAGTGAAACTCAAGCCAGGAACTTCTGTTAATCAGACAGTGACATTAAAGAAATCCATTGATGACATACATATATACATTTTAAAGTTATCTCCCACTTAGATCTAAAATGAAATGGACAGAATTTAAAGTTTAAAGTGGATTTCAAGTGATTTGTGTATTGTACATAATTAGATATGAGATGTATGTAAATAGAAATGCATCCTGCTCTCTTGTACAATCTTACAACTGTTCATGATGATTGTCCATATATAAATTGATTTTATAGAATAAATGAAAACATATATTTTACAGTATAGTGTGATGTTTGTTTTAAGTATAATGTACTAATTGAAAGATACATGTTTATAAATATGATATTCTTTCCAAGTTGTATTTTTAGTATATACATTTAAAAAAAAAAATACTGCCCCTGATATTTTATTTTTGAGGACACCAACATTCCATATAAATAGGCAATATTTCTGTTATATGTAGTGTTCTTATTGAAGCTGAATGATGCATATATAATTAAATGCATTTTCATGAATACTCTAAAAATAGATTTTTTAGATCACTTGGAAAAGAATATCAAACACTTATTGATGACTGGTAAAATTTTCACTGATGTGCCAAGATTAATGAATTGTAATGACAAAAATAGTAATACCGGTGTGTCCTGATTTATTTAATTCTTAATATTTTGAATTTAAATGAAAACTTTTCTTTATTTGGATTTAATTCATTTAAAACTTTAATTAGAAAATTCCATATTTATAAATCTGCAATAAGAAACTGAATGTGGGGGTAACACATTGTTATGTAGGGTATTTTAGACTGAAGTAAATCATTTAAATACACAGAAAAATAAGCTTGTAGTATTTTAAATGCCTTGGAAACACACTTTTTGACATTTTAAAATTATGTTCACTATCCATAGGATTTTAAAACCAGTACAGGGAATGAAAATGACTCCACCATCAGCATGAATTCATTAGGCCGAAATAAAAAATACTCGTTTCCTTTCACCCGTCCTACCCTACATTTTTCCCTCCGACCCTACAAGTTTTTATTACATTTTCATTTTTTAGGTTACTATTTTACTAAAGTTGACCAACAATATTTACAGAACTCATACATCGTAAGTGTACAGGATACCTTTACTTTATAAATCTTTTTTAACTAACTTTCTTGTTATTACATACTATATGTTCTGGCAGTTCTGCATTCATTGAGTTTTGAAAATAAATTTTTTCCCAAAATAAAATTTTTTCCCTACCTACCTACCCTAATTTTTTTGGTCAGGGGACAGGAAACAAGAGTATATTTTCTTTTGGCCTTATAGCGTGTTCGTTATAACCATGTTTTACTGTGTAGATATTTCTTTCCTTACATCATGATACTAGACAGTGTAATAAATACATTTTCCTAATTGTTTAAGCCAGTAGTTTAAATCATCCAATATTTATATATGCTCTAGTGTACCATAGATTAAGAGTTTGCTGCTAGCCAGATAATTCTTTTCATCTTGATGATATACATGTGAAATTAAAACTGTTAATAAAGTACCGTACAAAACAAATTTCGCAATTTTAAAATGAAAACTTAACATGCTTAACATGAAATTTACAGTAACATTTTCTATCCGTTTTTTCTGTTCTGTCTTAACTAACAGCCTTGGTAAAATGTTCATTTTCTGAAAATTTTGCAAAGTCTTATTTCATCTTTACCAAATTTTTCTTCTACCACTCCTTAGAAGCTAATAGTTCTGTATTAGGGCACAATATATTTGAGGTAGGAGACAAAATAAAGATTATTTTATGTTTGTTGTAGAACAACAAAGTACACATGTAAAATTCTAACTTCATGGAAACTATAAAAACAAAATTTCCAGTGTCTAAAAATCACAATTTAATAGAACTAAGTTAACCAATGAAATTATAATATAATGAAATTACAAAGTTCCCATAACATCTGCAAAACTTTAATATAAAAGTGTAATCATGGAATTATTAGACCTTAATAGTTTTGATTTGCACATGGATTAAGGACTTTCAAAAAAATCTTTTATATAAAATTTAAATAAATAAATAAAAAAATCATGGTGTTAGCATGAACAAATGAAGTTTTTTATATTCTTCATCACCAGTAGTTTAGAAACAAATTCACTTTCTAGATATTTTTTTTAGAAATTAAATCCACTTTTACATAATATCTGTTCATGTCCTCTACTGTCCCTGATTTACTTTTAAAATGATGCTGGAATTAATTTTTTTTTAAAAAGCAGAATTTTGTCACAATACATAACTCTCCGACATCACTGCATGTAAATGTAGCATATGTTTTCCCTTAGAATTAAACCATATAAACCGAGTTCCAGTGTCGCAGTTCATGTAAGGTGTTGCTCCGAAAAAGATCTCTCACTTTTCAAAGGCTTTAGTGCTGAGTACAGGTTATATTGTGCAGCCCTTCACCGGAACGTGTTGGCATCTTCAATATATTATGAATGAATTAGATCTAGATTATATGCAGTGATGAATGGAACAAAACTGTGGACTGAAATTAAATGGCCATTTCTTAAAAAGACAAAGAAGACAAGATTTATTTTATTGAAATAATTGATCACCTTAATATTATTATTATTATTTTTCAATTAATTCCCACAATTTTAATTTGGGAAAACACGAATATTTTATTTATAGCATATATAATTAATAGCGTTAATTTGTGATTAAAGTTTGTGTATTTAATTTAAAAGAAAACTTTGCAAGGGTATAAATGGTGTTCAAAGATTTTTTTAAAAAAAAATTCTGTACATACAGGACATACATTTAATTTTGGGTTGTAAAGAAAGTAAATTTAGAGACCGGAAGTGATATTATTCCGGAAATGAAAATTTTATTTAGGTTTATAACCAAAAGTGCGCTTTCAGCAAATTATTTCTAGGTTTTTAAAACTGTAAAAAAAATATTACTAACCATGTGTTCATAACATATTCATAATATATTACAATAAATGTTGTATAATTGTTGTTTAAATCCTCCTGAACCTGATATTGTTTACAATAATATGACAAACACTTCAATAAATTATACCCATGGGGAACATCGGAATTTTATCAGGATATAAAGAATTCAATTAAAAATTGCGAGACCTCTGTCCTAGAAAGTACAGGTGTAAAATATTGATGAAAATTTTACATTAACTTATGAATTTATTTTTTGTTGAAAACTTCTTTTCACGTCATAGCTGAATATTTTATAACCTGTGAGACATAAATGCAGGATATATGTTTTTGTGTCTTTTTTGGAAAATAAAATGATATTTCTCTAGTTCCTTATTAAAAGGATATTATTGGGTTTTTCAGCGGCAAATATTTTAATATTTATAAATAAATAAAAGACCGTATAGATGTACGACGCAAATATTTGTTCTATATCCAATCACGATTGAAGAAACTTTTGACAAAACTTGATTTTAGCTGAAGTGCAAAATTTAAAAGATAATCAGCCATGAGGTGCATGGCTAGAAAACATTTTTGTAAAAAGAGAAAGGCATATAGAGTACATTGGAATGTGTTATTCGCGAATCTATACAGCGAATAGCCCTAAATCATAATACAGAAATTTTCAATTAACTGCGAGGAATTCTGAAGTTAATTAGGTCTGGTCACTACGCCCTTTATATAATGTAATATCAATGCAGATATCAGCCTTCAGGCCGCGCCAAATTAATGTTCATTACACCTTAATCAACTCCCATCTCTCCCCGCTATCCTCTACACTAACTCAGCTGATAAAGGAACGCCATTCAATGGACAAAAACTACTCACAAAAATCCCAATTCTAAACATTAATGATTTTTTTTAAAGAGAGATAAAATATACAATCTATATCTGTAAATAAAAAGTTAATCTATTAATCTGGGGTTAATCTAGAGATGCGCTTGGCCTGAGATAGTGAGGGTTGGAATGTATTTATACTGAGGAGACCAGATGGAAAATAAACACCCCTGTATCTCTTGATATGCCATTATATTCCATTATGAAGAGAGATATATGCCCTAGTTGATATTGATGAGAGGGTAGATGAGGGGTGGGGGAAAGGGTGAGGTTATCAAAGGTCCCTGCTTTTATAGAGATCCCATCAAAGAGGAAACTTGAAATGAAGCAAAACGCGAGTGTCAAATATGGAGTAATGAGTAAAAATGATGAATTTTTATTTTGATTTCTATTTTTTCTGTAATTTTCTGTAAAATAACCCTCCTTGTGCCTCCGAATTAAGGCGCAACATAGATTTCTACTACGTATGTTTAGAAACTTTATAAGAATGTTGTATCAATCATAACTGATGTAGCGATAGCGAGTGACCATTAATGCCGTACAGCAGGAGGTACCACAAAATGTTTACGCTTTCTCATGTCGGAGAGTTCTTTTAATGAAATCAGAAACTGGTCAGATTTAATCTGGTGCCACGATGATTTGGTCTTTCCATTTATTTGGAGATTTGATATTGGTTTTGTATCTCTTTGTCGGACCAATTTACACATCGGTTAAATTACGGTACATCAATATAAAAAAAATGTGTTCCTTTAAGTTGCAATCTGCATTTCAACTCTAAAGAAGAATAAAAGTAGTCTGACAATTTTTAGTCACCATGAGGTAAATCTAATTTTACTGAGCTGTCTTTTTAGACAAAACGAGAATTCTTATAAAAAGAAGATTATAAATGAAAACTAGTTTAACAAAACCTGAGAAATAATGTTCCCTATCAACTTAAGCCACGCTGCTACATTTCCAAAAATATATCCATCCATAATTTCTCTCCTCTTGTAGTAGAAAACATTACTGTATCATACAATTAATCATGTAGCGGGCTAAATCATCTTTATATATTTACTTATTTGTTTTGAGATCGCATTGCACTCGACTGAATCGGTGTTTTTTACTCGCAGTGTAGGATTTTTTTGCAATTGTTTGCCCTAATGTTGATCATCCTTATCATATGGTTATTGTTACGGCCGCAGGCACATATGATTTATGACAGGGTAAATATACTTTTAATTATGGATGCTGTGTAATCATTTATTCCCCTGCATCGCTATAAGATCCCGGCTCGTCCCGGTTTGACATGTTCATTTCTTTTTCTTATTTTGTTCTATTTCTCCCCGTCCATTATAATCTTTGAAACGTTTTATCACATGGCGGAAAACATTTCCTTTGTTCT